CCAGCCGATACAGAAGCTGCGGCAGAAGCAGAAGAAGGGTGATAATTACCAGAATCGCCACTGGTCGCCAAGTTGTACTCGTGAGGGAAGTTGAGAATGGCGGCTCGGCCCCTCATCGAGAAGGCGGCCCGGTCGTAGGCTCGAGCCGCCTCCTCGGCCGTGTCGAACGTCCCTAACCACACTCTCTCGCCGTGTTTCCTCGAATCTCTTATCTCCGCCGCGTATTTCCCCCAGGGCCTCCGCCTTACCCCCCTGTACTTCGTCCCCTGATCACCGCCACCGCCACCATCCATATATTTGTATATATATATGTGTGTGTGTATATACGTGTCGGTGTTGATGTATGTTAAATGCTGGATCTGGTGGTGTTGTGTTTTGTCTTTGCATGATGGGTTTTGGAAAGAGATATTTATAGGTGTGGAAAAAAGTGGTTCCTATGAACCTAATTATTCGTTAAAAAGGACATAAATCCTGTTCTGTTCGTGAAGATGCTCTTGTCTTATTTCTCTAATTGACAAAAATTTCTTCCTTTACATGCATACGCATTTACGTATATGCTATGTTTCATAATATTTTACGCGTTTATATATATATATATATATGTATATGATTAATTAATTAAAAACTGCCTCTATATACGATATAATATTGATAGATACACATATTTATGGTAGCAACATGTTTTTAATTCCAATTATAATTTCAATTCATTCCTCAACGATGTTGGACCGAAGAAATCGCCATAACTGCTTGTTTTACAAAATCCATGTGCCCAAAAATGACATAGCAGGACCCATTTGGTTTATTAAAACATAGAGAAATTAAATATTATTGACACGATAGTTTACCGGTAAAACGAATGTATTTATTTTACATATTATGTTTTATATAGTCTTCAACGGTACTTTCATGTGGAATGAAATGAACATTTCTAAAATCTTTTAAACGAAATATCTCCACATGAGTTGCATAACCTTTTTTTATTCAATATATACCTAAATAAATATGTTTTTTTTTAAATAGGCAGACCATTAATAAATATACGCATAACTACTATATGGATTCAATCATGAATTATATATCTAAAGATAGCCTATATCGATTTTTTTTTAGATAAACAATGAGGCACACCCAGATAATATTAATTATAGCCTCTGTTTTGTTAATATTTAAAAAATTAATTGGCAAATTTTGTGATATTAAATTACAGGGGGAATCAGGAAGGTGTGTTGTTTCACAATATGAGGAAAAGTAAGGGCTCACGTGGGGTCCATATGAGACACGTGAGGAATAAATTTGACTAATGTTGCCCCACGTGGGTTGACCAATCGTCTGAGTTGGAATCAGAGTCACGATTGTATTGTTATTTATTATATTACAAATCGAATATATATATATATATATATATATATATGTATATTACCAGCAGAATCCAAATTCCTTATGCATGCATTTAATATATATAGTAGTATTTCCCAATATATAATGGCAACTTATTAGTTTAGTTTGCATTTAATATAATTAACCCCTAGTTCAAGATAGATTACACATTCTGAAAAAATATGAAGTGGAGATGAGGAATCAAAATAGTTATATATATAAGTTTCTATTTGCAAAATTCATGTTTATGGATCTCGTTTTTTTTATAAATGATATATATATATATATATATATATATAT